CAATTGGCATTTTATTTAGTAGAAATTGACCTTAACCTCACGGCTTTAATCCTTGATTTAGGATTAATTACTAATTAATCATTCATTATGTTTAATTATCAAATTAAACATAATGCTTATTTACCAAAATTATTCCGAACGTAAACGGTACGTCGAAAATAAATTTCGGTAGTCTCGACTGAAAATATTAATTCCGAAAGTTGACAATCTTAATAAATCGGAATTAAAACATAATTTATACTAACAAAATAACGGGATATTGCACTACAAGCAAAGGATCCAACCGCTGATCTCCAAACACAATACCATGTCCCGCAGTACCTTTCAAATATCTGAAAATCCATTTGACTGCCTCCCAATGCTGTTTACCCGGCCTAGACATGTACTTCCAAACTTGACCAACAGCATGAGCTAAATCAGGACGAGTACATACCATGGCATACATCAGACATCCAACAGCACCGGCATAAGGTATCTCCACCATATCCTGAGTCTCCTTATCTGACTTGGGGCACTGATCAACAGAAAGCTTGAAGTGGTTTGCTAATGGAGTGCTCACTGGTTTTGCTTCATTCATCCCGAACCATTGTAGCACCTTCTCCACATAACCCTTCTGAGATAACCACAGCTTCTTTGATCCTCTATCCCTGTGAATCTCTATCCCAAGAATCTTATTCGCAGCCCCCAAATCCTTCATCTCAAATTCCTGACTCAAAAGGCTTTTCAGATCAACAATATCACGCATATTCTTGGCAGCAATAAGCATGTCATCAACATAAAGTAACAGAAAATCATAGAACCATCACCAAGGCTTTTAGTGTAAACACAGCAATCAAACTCACAACGCTTGTAGCCAATATTCACCATATACGAATCAAACCGTATATTCCACTGCCGCGATGCTTGCTTCAAGCCATATAAGGATTTCTTCAACCTGCAAAATAAATGCTTCTTCCCTAGTTGAATGAAGCCCTCTGGCTGCTGCATGTAAATAGGCTCTGCGAGATCACCATGCAAGAAAGCAGTCTTCACATCCATCTGCTCCAAATGCAAATCCCAACTAGCCACCAATGCAAGTACAACCCTGATCGAAGTTTGTCTAACCACAGGGAAAAATGTCTCATCATAGTCAATCCCCTTTTGCTGTGAGTATCCTTTAGCCACCAATCGAGCCTTGAACCTTTCCCCTCCTTTTTCTGTTACCGATGACTTCCTTGTGTAAATCCACCTACAACCAATAGCTCTCTTCCCTTCGTGAAGAACATCCAACTCCCATGTATGATTCTTGTGTACAGAATTCATCTCTTCTTCCATGGCAGCCTTCCATCTATCATTATTCTCACAAGAAACAGCCTCCTGGAAACTACATGGATCCACGCTAGTGATCGTAAGAGCAAATGCGACCATATCCTCATAACCAAACCTGACCGGAGCTTGTATATTGGTACGCCTCACTCTATCCCGAGCTAACTTGTAGCTCTCTGGCACATCAGTTGGGCCAGAAACATCATGATCAACATCATCAGGTGCAGAACTCGAACTCTTCCCCTTATCAAGAACTGCTGGCATATGTTTCAACTCCACTTGTACCTTATCTGCATCTGATTCCAACATAGACTGTTCATCAAACACTGCATCTCTACTAATCACTGTCTTCTTCTCAAATGGATCCCAAAACTTGTATCCCTTCACACCTTTCTTATAGCCCAGAAAAGTGCACTTCTTTGATTTAGCATCAAGCTTTGACCTCTCATCAGCAGGAATATGAACATAAGCAGGACAACCAAAAATCTTCAAATGATCAAAACTAACATCATTACCTGTCCATACTTCTTCTGCAACTTTGCCATCCAGAGATGCACGTGGTGATCTGTTAATTAAATAACAAGCCATACTTACAGCCTCAGCCCAGAAACTCTTTGGCAAACCCACATTCAATCTTAAAAACCTCGCCCTCTCAGCAAGTGTCCGATTCATCCTCTCAGAAACACCATTCTGTTGTGGTGTTTTACGCACTGTAAAATGCCTTTGAATCCCATGCTCCTCACAAAACTTCTGGAACTGCGAATCGATATACTCTGTACCATTATCAGACCTTAAGTACTTGATTTTCCTACCAGTTTTGTTCTCTACCTCAGCCTTCCATAACTTGAATTTAGCAAAAACTTCAGATTTATGCTTCATGAAATACACCCAAACTTTCTTCGAAAAATCATCAATAAAGGTCACATAGTACACAGAACCACCAATCGATGTCACTCTAGTAGGACCCCACACATCTGAATGTACACAATCCAGAATTCCTTTTGTCTTCTTCTTCCCAGTCTTGAAACTGACTTTTGTCTGCTTTCCCAGAACACAAAACTTGCAGAAATTGAGTTTGCAAGTTTTAACACCATGCAGAAGCCCACTCTTATGCATTTCAGTCATGCCATGTTCACTAAGATGTCCAAGACGCATGTGCCACAATTTCGTGCTATCTTCACACGACTCCACCGAATGGACTCCACCTACAACTGTACTTCCCAACAGTTTGTAAATGTTCCCTGCAGTGATCCCCCCTTTCATCACAGTCAAAGCACCCTTCACAATCTTAATGGTTTCCCTATCCTCATCAGCCTTGGGAATGAAACCATTTCTATGCAAAGTACCCAAAGAAATCAAATTCTTCTTCAACTCAGGGATATGTCTCACATCACATAATGTCCTATCAGTTCCATCATACATCCTGATTTTGACATCTCCAATACCGACAATACCACAGCATCTATCATCACCAAGAAAAACAGAACCCGAGTTGCCTGGTTTATAAGTAGCAAACCACTCTCTGTTAGGCGTTATATGATATGAACATCCAGAATCGAGAATCCAGGCATCATCATACTGCGTAGTCGAAATAGATAACATATCTCCATCACTGCAATCGGATTCCTCATTTTGTACCACATTCACAGACTTGGATGACATATCAGCAGTCTGTGTCTTCCACTTTGGGCAATCCCGTTTGAAGTGCCCTTGTTCCTTGCACTTATAACACGTCACAGTTTTCCTCCCTTTTTATTTGTCTCGCGACTTGGATCTGAAATTCCGATTTCCTGAATTATCCCGCACCTGTTTTCTTCCACGATCCTGGTTACCCTTCACATATAAACTGTCACTTTGAGAAGATGACTCTCCAGATTTCTGTTTCCGCTGGTTGTGAGCCAACAACGCTGAAGTAATCTCCTCAGTCTTGATCGTTTCTTTCCCATATGTAAGGGTAGTCACCATATGTTCGTAAGAAGGAGGTAACGAACACAGTAAAATCATCGCCTTCTCTTCATCTTCAATCTTGAATTCGAGTGAAGCCAAATCCGTGACAACCTGATTGAAGATATTCACATGTTGCCCTAAATCGGTCCCCTCTTGCATCTTCAGCCCGTATAACCTCTGCTTCAGATACAGTTTTGTCGTTAGGGTTTTCGGCATAAGCTGCAATTCCAGTTTCTTCCAGATCTCATCCGCCGATTTGAGATGCATAACGTGATACATAACTTCATCTGCAAGGCACAACCGAATTGTCCCGGCCGCCCGTTCCTGCAGATCTTGCCAATCATCGTCTTCCATCCCCTTTGGCTTTTCTGCGCGCAGCCCTTTCTGAATTCCTTGCTGCGCCAATAAATCTTTTAGTCTCGTCTGCCATAATCCGAAATTGCCATGACCATCAAATTTCGAGACCTCAAATTTTGATCCTCCCGTCATCTCCGTCGCCCAATCAACCAGTCTATGATACCACTTGTTGAGTGAAGATGACAATATGGCATACGAATTAAAAAACGAGAAAAGTAAACAACACAAGATTTACGTGGTTCGGCAATGTGCCTACGTCCACGGCGGCTGAGGGATCTTTATTAATCTCAATCGTTTCAAATACATCAATACACCATGTATTTATACTATAACCCTACAAGGTATTAATTTACTTAAATACCCTGTACCGTACCGCGAGGGCTCTGCCCCTGCACCCCCGTCCATCACGCGGGGGCTCCGCCCCCGCACCCCTGGCCCAACTAATCGCTCACTTCGCTCGGTCGCTCTGCTTCCCTCGCTACGTTTGCTCCGTTACGCTCGCAGGCATCAGC